ATCATCCGGATCCTGGTCCAGAAGCTCCGGTGTCCCGACGTGGGCGGCAACGACCAATCACAGTACAAGTACGGAGCTAAACCGGGAAAAAATGGCACTCAGGAAACACAGGCTTGATCCTTTGATGATCAAAGCGCCTGGAAAGCAGCTCCTTTAGCACCTTTAGCTAATTTAAGGTCCTTTAGCTCCTTTGGCCCCTTTAGCTAATTTAAGCTCCTTTAGCTCGATTAGCACCTTTAGCTAATTTAAGCTCCTTTAGCTCCTTTAGCACCTTTAGTACCTTTAGCTAATTTAAGCTCCTTTAGCACCTTTAGCTAATTTAAGGTCTTTCAGCTCCATTAGTTAATGTTTCCTCCTTTATCTCCTTTAGTTCATTTTAGCTCCCTTTAGCTCCTTTTGCACCTTCAGCTAATTTTATCTCCTTTTAGCTTCATTAACACCTTTAGCTAATATAAGCGCCTTTTAGCTCCTCTAGTTAATTTAAGTTCCTTTAGCTAATTTTAGCTTCTTTTAGCTGCTTATATTTCTTTCATGTCCTCAAGTTAATTTGATCTCCTTTAGCTCATTTTAGCTGCTTTTAGCTCCTTTTATTTCCTTCAGCTCCTTTAGTTAATTTAAGCTCTATTAGCTCCTTTAGCTGATTTTATCTCCTTTAGTTCCTTTTATTTCCATCAGCTTTTTCAGCTTATTTTAGCTCCTTTAGCTCCAGAGCTATCAGGGTCATCAGGAAAACCTGGAACATCAGGCCAGGTCCTCCAAAACTTCTGCTGATGGACAACAATTCAACAAAAAGTGATGAAGGTTGTCACTTACTATCTTACTTTCTTACAGGAGGCTGGCGAAATCCACCCTGCTGCTGATCCCTCTGTTTGGGATCCACTACGTGGTTTTTGTGTCTCTCGGCGAGTCCATCGCAGAAGATTATAAAATATTTTTCGATCTTGCCCTCGGATCCTTTCAGGTGTGTGAATTGATTTATTTTGTGTGAATCCCTGTTGTTTCTGATGCATGAATCTGTGGATTGAGCAACTTAAATAACTTCCTTTTCTGAATTCATGGAATGCAGATGTAATTTTTTTCCTTCTCCAGGGTCTGGTGGTGGCCATTCTCTACTGTTTCCTCAACAGCGAGGTGAGTTTTGGCATCACATCCCATCAGTCCACAGCAGGGGTCAAAGGTCACAGGAGGCCCTTTTATTTAAAAAAAACAAAAGGAAAAATGACTTATCTGAACACCCCGGCTTTAATGGGTGAGGGGGCCTGTCTTTATGGGCTATGACCCAATCATGGCCACCATCTGCAAAGCTGCCATTTTGGATCCCGGGTGAGTTTGGGAAGGTGGTCATGTAGCATATCAAAGAAGAACAGAATTGTATCAGAAATCAAATGCTGCAAACAGATTTTGAATATTCCCTTTGGTTAAAAAGTTATCAGCAAAGAAACCACCTGTGAAACTACCCATCAAACAGCTGTGCAACATCTTCAGATTCCTGTTGCTGCCTGCCTTCACCTGTCTTTGGTACACAGGTGTTGGCCCACTTGCGTCCTGGTTGGACGGTGCTTAACGCTACCATGCTAACGCTACCATGCTAATGCTACCATGCTAACGCTCACGCTACCACGACGTCTCCACAGATAGGCGGAGTAAGCTGAGGGGGGGGGCAACATGCAGGTGAAAGGCTGGAATATTATAATGAGCTAGAGCTAATGACGTCAGAAACTACCCACTCCTGAAACCTCCTGATTTATCTCCTGGATTCAGACTGAGGCAGCCCACAAAAACATGACTGAGTCATTTTTTTTCACACTTTTCCTGCTGATAGGCCCTCCACAGTCCCAAATGTACATAATCACATGATTAAAAACTTGCTTTTGCATAATATGTCCCTTTTAACTCATTGACTGGCAGCCATTTTCAGAACAGAGTCCCATACTGCCAGAGTTTTTTTAGCATTTTGACTGATTTTTCAAGAGCCACAGAATAGTTTGTGCTATGACTATGTAAACACCGAACACACCAAAAGAAAGAGTAGACTCTCTTCTTTCATCAGGAAAAAAAATGTGTTTCTACCTTATTCCGTTCTTCCTGGACTTGCGTCTCACCGGCGACATGTTCTCTCATAGAACCGTTAGCTTTTTCTTATTTGCCTACAGTCTATGCTCATCTCCCATCAAAAGTGGCACTGCCACCTAGCCCAGTGTTTTTCAACACCGAACACACCAAAAGAAAGAGTAGACTCTCTTCTTTTCATCGACTGAGTCATTTTTTTTCACACTTTGCCTGCTGATAGGCCCTCCACGTTCCCAAATGTACACAATCAAATGATTAAAAACTCGGTTCTGCATAATATGTCCCCTTTAAACTGAACAGGACTTTTTGTAGCAGAGGTTGTTCGGTTGGTGGCGATATTCTGCCTGTGATATTCTTTGAGTGTGTCTCTGTTCTGAGCGCAGGTTCAGGGGGAGCTGAAGAGGAAGTGGCAGAGCGTGTGTCTGAACTGCCACCTGGGCAGAAACGCCCACCTGAGCGGCGCCTTCACCTCCAGGAACGGCTCCGAACAGACCATGAACTCCCACCACCGGGGCTCCAGGGCCCAGTCTATCCTCCAGTCGGAGACCACTGTGCTGTAAACCCCCCCACCAGCTCCACGAAACACTGAAGTGGCTCCAAAGCGTCCCATGCTAACAGAACTGATTTTATTTAAATGTTTTAACGGCTGCTTTTGGGCTGAGAAGAGAATCTGGACTCCATCCATTATCAATACCGCTTATTCCCTGATGGGGTCGCGGGGGGAACTGGAGCCTATCCCATTGGTCAACGGGCGAGAGGCAGGGTCACCCCAGTCCATCGCAGGGCCACACAGAGACACACAAGGACCAACAACCACTCACACTCACGTTCACTCCTAAGGGCAATTTCCCCAATCTCCAATCAGCCTAACATGCAGGTTTTTGGACGGTGGGAGGAAGCCGGAGAACCCGGAGAGAACCCACAGACACAGGAGAACATGCAGAACCACCCAGAAAGGTCCTGGTTCCCCCGGGACTCCAACCCAGAACCCTGTGGTCCTGGTTCCCCCGGGACTCCAACCCAGAACCCTCTGGTCCTGGTTCTCCTAGGGACTCCAACCCAGAACCCCCTGGTCCTGGTTCCCCCGGGGACTCCAACCCAGAACCCTCTGGTCCTGGTTCCCCCGGGGACTCCAACCCAGAACCCTCTTACTGGGAGGCGACAGTGCTAACCACCACACCACCGTGCCGCCCAAGAATCTGGACTCATAAAATGTAAATACGTGAATGTTCTGTACATTAAAAGACATCGTCCATAAGCTTGTTTTTAACTACTTCTGCATAAAGTATTCCCACTGAGTCCTATCTGAAGCATCATGTGGGGATTTAAAATATTTGAGTTCACCTTTAATGTGTTTTGAGATATTCTTGTTGGTATTTATAGACGTTAGTTCTCCATATTGGGTCAGACTCTGCTCCAGTAAAGGCAGAGAAAGGAGGTTCTAAGTTGAAGCTGGGTTTGAATAAATGTGGAAAGTGGTCCTCATGAGGACTGGGCCTCAGAAAATAGCACAATTTCCAATTAAAGTGTGTGGATGCAAATGCACATTTGACCCAAGACAGGACAGAAGCTTTTTGCTGCCAACATTGTTAAAAACTGGGTTTTTCTGCACCTAATCCAGGCTGGCTGTGGAAATCTGCATCGTTTTAATGTAAAGTTGAGTCAAAAGTAACAGGACAGCCTTTTTATTACAGAAACTAAAAAGAAAATGACCCACCTGGACCCCCCCAGTGTTAATGGCGATCCCATCTTTTAGGCTGAGGCCTGGGTAGCTCAGATGGTAGAGCATCAGACTTTTAATCTGAGGGTCCAGGGTTCAAGTCCCTGTTTAGGCTTTGGTCCCATCCTTTGCAAATGGGATTTGTTGAATGTTAGAAACATTAGAAATGTTTAGAATGGAATCTTAATTTGGGTTCGATTCCCGGCCAATACAGCTCCTCTCTACCCTGTAAGTCGCTTTGGATAAAAGTGCTTTGCCAAAATGCATGAACATGAACATGAACATGAGTCCAGAACATGGCCACCATCTTGTTGGATCTCCCAGTGGGAAGGCGGTCGTGTGACATATTCTGAAGCTCAGAATAGATTCAGAAACTGAACAAAGCAGTCAGATTTGGGATGTTTCCGGCGGTCCAAAAGTTACGAACCCAGAAACGGGACGAGAACCGGAGCGTTTCCCCCGTTGTGGAGCTCGGTGCGCTGTCCATGGTGCTGAACACGGCCCAGTCAAAACACAACTTTCTGGACGGATGCTAATTTTGCTAATCTGATTACAGAAAAATTATTTCTGAGGCTGCTCTGCTCTCCTCTGATGTGCCACATGACCCTCTTCCTATTGGAGGAACTGGCTTTCAATCCAACATGGCGGCTTTCAAGATGGCCGCCGCGTTTGGGTCACAGCCATTTCCTCTCTTGTTTCTGAGCTAAAGCTATTTTCTGTCACTTTTGATGGCATATTTTTCAAAAATTTGTCCAAAATCTCTATTATATGTTTGGATTTTTACTCCTTTTACTTCTTTATTATAAACAAAGTAATGCAATTTAGAGGAGACTGTTTATTTCACGGCTGTCTGACCTGCTTTTCAGACGTGGGAGGCACTTATTCAGACTAATTCCTCCTCCGGTGGAGGTTTGCTCAGACCCAGAGGAGGAGGTCCATTCTTTTCTCACCTGCTGATGTGGAGATTTTCCAGGGCGGTCGCCCACAACCAGCAGAAAATCCTCTCTGCGCCTCCCACTGCAGATCTGTTTCATCTAAAGGAATGCAAACGGAAGCCAAATCCCAAATACTTGAAAAGGAAATCAAAAAAGAGCATCTGACTCGGCTTCATTTTCGGGTCAGTGGTATATTTAGTCTGCCAGGTGGTCAAATCCAGCTCTCAGGATCTACCAAGTGGTCCCGTCCTGCTGGTTGCTGTGGGTTTTTTTGTCCTTTATAAGACTTTTCTCTCCAAAAACAGCCCGTTTTCAATCAATCAATCAATCAATCACTTTATTTTGGTGAATTGTCCACATTAAACACAAGAAACAACAAAAGAAAAAAAGAAAAGAACAATAGACAAACCCACAGTTTACCAAAAAAAGGAATAGGCCGAAGCAAAGCTTATTCTTGACTACCCTATTTTTTACCTTACCTTACTTTAACCTACCAGGATTTCTTCAAATTCAGATTAAAATACATAGTACATATATAGATCTACATAACAGCGTAAGATTTTATCATTTTAGATTTTAAAGCTCTTTTAAAGTTCACCAAGAAAGGACATAACTTAAATTCATCATTCAATTCATTCCACAGTTTCACACCAATAACTGAAACACTGCGACCAACTGAAAACCTGCTCTCACTTTAACGTTTTTACCACTCACTCGTTGTAAAAATGACCTGGAGGCAGCTTTATTTGACCTCTTACCGTGAGAATCTGGCAATAAATTGTCGAAAAACACCATCTTTCTGCTGTTTATGTGCTGAGTTTGCAAACTAATAAACATCTGAAGCTGTGATGTGGACTTATCTGCATAGTTTACGTCCTTTGAGCTGATTTCTTCCGTCCAACAGGAGCTCCACTAGCTGCTTTTTAACGGGAATAATGTGGGTTTTAATGTGTGTGCAGGCTTCTTTTCTGGCTTTGTGTAAATGGCTGTTAGGGTGGTTTTAGTTCCTGTAGATTTCGGTGTAAAAATGACGCTTTTGTGTTGCTGCTGTTGTTGTTGTTGTTGTTGCCACAAATCGGATAAACTGAGTCTTAAGAGAACATAATGAGCTATCTCTTTTCCACCTTTTTGACCATATGTGATTGCATCTACTCCTGAATAAGTGCCATATTTCTTATTTCCTGTTAAATGTTTCCAATACTCACACTTTTTCCTTTTTTTTAAAAAACAAAACAAAACAGTTTTCTGAATTAAAACTATGCCCAAAAACATGTTAATTGAAATAAGTCACAACTAAACAAGATATTGAATTAATTCCCGATCTTTGTCCGAAACCTTCTGGATAATGTGGATAAGTAGAGTTAAAGGAAAGAGTCTCTTTATGAATAATAGCATGTGTGCTAATTTATGGAACAATGGAGTTCCGGGTACAGGACCTTGTGGAACACCACATTCCAGATTAGGATTAGAGAAATAAAGCTTAGAAAAGATTATTTTAAGGCAACAAATATGTATTTAAAGCTCTTAAAAAACATCAGTTTCACCTCATTTTGTGATAAAATTAAAGGATTTAATAATCATCTGTTGAATCTGCCACTTTTTTATATTTTTTTTGTACATTTTGATGCAGAATAAAGGAATAAACGTATTCAGAATTCTAAATGTTAGCAAATGTACTGATAAAATAAAGAGCGTTGTTACAGAAAAAGGCTAAACGAACATGTTTTTAGTTACCAAACGCTCCTATTTGTGTTTCCCTTTTCCATGAACTGTCTTTGATGAACTCATTTGTACTGAGACACCATGAATGTCATGCAAAAGGCGACTGATAAAGTTTCTTTGTAAGCAGCTCCCTGCCTGAATGTGATTTATTTTATTTTTTAAACTCATCTACAAGTTCAG